ATGGCTTTCTAAATTAATGGCAAAAGCTAAGAAGAGCTCATATTGTCCTCATTTATCACCACACATGTGGCATTCGTGCATGGTTACACTTTTCGCTTTATCTAAGGCTCTTATCAACAATAATATTATGTTTATAAAGCTGTTCATCACGATTCTATTTTTCGCTTGTCGAAGAGGTTATAAAGATGTGCAGACCTTTCACTTTGTTCTTGAATTTCAGCGTTGAAGGCAAGACTCGGGATCCTCTATATATAAACCAGTAGTTTGGTGTGTCTGTTTGTAACCTGTGGGCTCGCTCATTACGTAAACCCATGAAAACAGTTGGGGCATGAACCTAAAGAGTGGGAAGCTGTCCTTAGGGCGTGTACAGTTGTAGACAGGCTTGGACTAAAAGCGGGTACGGTAGTGGGCGGAGCTCGACTCGGTGGGCGGGGCTTGCGCCAAAATCTTTGCTGAAAATATCGGTTTTGCGCAGAGGGCTCGAATGAGGTTGGGAATATAGTATTGATTGGGTGCTGTAGCAAAACTGGAAATTCCTCCGGGTCAAGGGCTCGAAAAAGGTTGCGAATCAAGGTATTGATTGACTCGGTGGGTGGGGCTTACCCCAAAATCTTCGCTGAAAATAACGGTTTTTGCACGCCACGCATCCGACCTCCACCCATAATTGTCTGTTTGTAACCTGTGGGCTCGCTCACTACGTAGACTCATGAAAACAGTTGGGACATGAACCTTAAGAGTGGGAGGCTGTTTTTAGGGCGTGTACAGTTACAGACAGGCTTGGATTAAAAGCGGGTACGGTAGTGGGCAGTGAAAGTGTGGGTAGTGAAATGCGCAGGAAGGGCTCGCTGGCAGAAAACGGGACGCGGAGGGGCGAAATACAATGTGTTTGGAGAGACGCAGGTGACGCCCGTTACGCGCAGCAAAAAGTCCTTCGGAGGACTTTTGGAGTTGGCCAACTTCAAACTGCCAGGTGCGTGGGTCAAAGCACGGTGTTGGAAAGGGAAAGGGAGGCACCTTGCATTGATTCGTCAGTGGTGTAGCGCCTGCGGTCTACGTTGGTGTTGGATCGGTCACGGAATCAATT